GAGATTTCCGGCAGCAGAGGGGTTAACTCGGCCCCTCCGCTCCCCCGCGCACATTCCAGCCCCGCGGGACAGACGCGATTTCTCTGCCCATAAATTCCCCCGGGACTGGCGCCGCTGCGGGCGGGAGCGCCTGGAGCCCGGCCCGGGGACACCGGAATGGAGCGCTAATTAATGGGATCGGTATTTAATTAATGGGATCATTATGGGATCGTTAATTTAATGGGATCGGTAATTAACGGGATCGGTAATTAATGGGAGCCTTAGTGGGATCGATAATGGGATCGATAACGGGATAGATAATGGGATCGTTATGGGATAGTTTATTTAATGGGATCGTTTATTTAATGGGACCGGTAATTAATGGGAGCGGTAATTAATGGAGCGGTAATTAATGGGATCGGTAATTAATGGATCGGTAATTAATGGGAGCGGTAATTAATGGGATCGGTTATTAATGGATCGGTATTTAATTAATGGGATCGTTATGGGATCGTTAACAGGATCGATAATGGGATCGGTAATTAACGGGAGCGGTAATTAATGGGATCCTTAATGGGATCGATAAAGGGATCGATAATGGGATCGTTAATTTAATGGGATCGGTAATTAATGGGAGCGGTAACTAATGGGATCGGAATTAACGGGAGCGGTAATTAATGGGAGCGGTAATTAATGGGATCCTTAGTGAGATCGATAATGGGATCGATAACGGGATCATTAAAGGGATTGATGATGGGATCTTATGGGATCGTTTATTTAATGGGATCGTTGTTGGATCGATAACGGGATCGTTAATTTAATGGGATCGTTATGGGATCGTTAATTTAATGGGATCGTTAATTTATTGGGATCGAAAATGGGATCGATAATTTAATGGGATGGCTAATAGGATCGATAATTGGACCGATAATGGGATCGATAATGCGAAAATCAAACCCGGGGGTGTTTGGGACCATTCCCAGAGCCAAATCCTGTCTGGAATCGGGGAAAATCAGTCCTGGGGGTGTTTGGGATCATTCCCGGGGTCAAATCCCGGTGAGGATGGGGCAGAATCAATCCCGGGATTGTTTGGAGCCGTTCCCGGAGCCAAATTCCATCTGGGATTGGGGAAAATCAATCCCGGGATTGTTTGGGGCAGGGAAATCAATCCCGGGATTATTTGGGGGATGGGAATCACTCCCGGAGGGTTTTGGGATCATTCCCGGGATTGTTTGGAGCCGTTCCCAGAGCCAAATCCTGTCTGGAATTGGGGGAAATCAATCCCGGGATTGTTTGGGGGATGGAAATCAATCCCGGGGGAATTTGGGATCATTCCCGGGATTGTTTGGAGCCGTTCCCGGAGCCAAATCCTGTCTGGAAT